CCAACTTTCAAGAAGTGCGGGGCACTGGTTTCTGTTCTGCCTCGCGCGGCAGCGCCGGGCTCCGCAGCACACCTGATGTGTTCAAAGTCAAACTGACCTCCTTCTTCCCCTTCCCCCACCTCCCTGCTCCTGGAAAAGAAAGCATAACAAGTTTTTCCCCCCCCTCTTCCCTTTTTTTTTTTAGTCAAACTGACCTCCTTCTTCCCCTTCCCCCACCTCCCTGCTCCTGGAAAAGAAAGCATAACAAGTTTTTCCCCCCCTCTTCCCTTTTTTTTTTTTTTCTTCTTTTTTTTCTTCCTGTTGCTCAGCAAAGCGGGCAAACTTTTTTTTCTGCGTAAAAAATTAAATTCTTAGGTAACTCTCTGGCTGGGCTGATTGAAGGGAAGATTGCTGTTAGCAAGACACAAGAAGCTGCACTGAAGTGAGAGAGGGAGGCCTGGAGTCTGTTATTGATAATATTAAAGTGGATTACAGCAGCTTGCATGGGCTACTTTGGCCTCTCTCCTTTCAAACTCTGCCCACAGAGAGAGCTACTTATGACTCCAGCAGCTACAGCCTCTAGCTGTGAGTTCCCGTTTCTCTGTGGCTGCTCCTGATAAAGATCTGCCCCAATCTCGGCATCGCCAGCTTGGTTACAGCAATGCCTCCTCTCCTCGCCCAGGAGGACTTTCTTCCACAAGTCGAGCAGCTGATGCTACAGGCTCTGCTCCTCCTGCCAAATCCTGCCCAGCGCCCACGCGAGGACATAGCTCTATTTCAGCCCCCAGCAAAGTCCTGAAAACAAACTGGGGTATAAACCACACACTGGCCTTGGTTAGGGCTCCTGGAAAAGGTCAGAGGGACAGTCCTATAGTGGAGCAGTCGTGGACCAGTAGTGAGAGAACCGAGATTTCACTTGTTAAAAAAAGGGAGAGACTATATTTCTGATTTTTCGTGTTGAGCTTTTGGCATTGAAGCTTTGGAGCTTAATTTTCCAGCTTTCCCTACTCTTTTAATGCGTAGGAATTTATTTTTTCCTATAAGGGACTAACATCATGGGACTGCAAGGAGCCTCTCGGGCCATCGAAGTCTGTCTTTGGCCAAGCATAGAGGAACGTGGCATCTTCCTCCGTCCCTGTGCTTCGCTGGAGTTGTCTGAAAAGTGACTCACTCCTTTGTGGGGAAGGAAGGTTACCAATGACTCTTACTGGAAAGCTGAACTAGCGCCTCTTCTTGTTTTTTAATAAAAAAGTCCATCTTAATCCCTTGGGTTTCAGGAACAGGAGCTTTATGGGGAAAAAATCACTCAGCCTAAGAAGTTCGAAGGGCTGTCAGTGTTCTCAACTATAGCTCCATCCCTTTCTAGCAACTCAAGGCAAGCAGAAGTGAGGAAAACTGTTTGCTGCTGTATGAAACTTGTACATATTTTTTTAATCTAATTGCTGTGGGGAAAACAAACATCAGTTTTATTTCGCACCATTTCTTGGCTCGGAAACTTCGGGCATATTCGCCAAATTGTGGTTTTGCAGTCATTGGCTTGAGTCTCATTTACCATGAGGCCTCTTTACACCACTCTTGGTTTGTAAAGGGATATTAAGTAGCTAAAAATGTCCTTTACCACATTATTGTAAAGAATTCTCAGTGTAAATGAGAATCTAAACTCTGTATGTTTTCTGTGTAAATGGTGGTTGTGGTCACAGCAGAATTTTGAAATTCGGAGTGTCAACCATTGTGAGGGGTGATTTTGCTCAAAACAGCCTTGTTTGGGGTAAAAGAGGCCTCTTCTTGTTTAAAATGTTCTTAATTATGTCTGAGAAATAACTCATGGCTATGGAACCTTTTACTAAATTGAAATAAATTGTGAAAACATCAAATTATTCAGTTTTCAGAAGTTCTGGCAATTATTTCACATGTCCCTCTTCCAATGGCTTTGCCCTTATTAGTTGTCATAGAAGAAGTAATAAATTCTTTTATTATGACATCCAAAGTCCCAGCTGAAATTAGTTTCATTGTGCTAGGGACAAAACGGAAAAGTGACACTCCCTTAGCCGGAGGATCCTTAGTCTGAAGCCAAAAGTAAGTGAAGGATTGGGAAAGTAGGTACAGCACAGGAGCAAAAGAAGGTCATGCAGAACTGGTACGACTTTGCAAGTTACAGGGAGTGTGGGCTTCTTATCCCTTTTCTTACGCTTTTCCCTTTCTCTTAAGAATAAAACAAGTCTCGCTGCTGAAGGGATTGTGTTCAATCCAGCTTTTCATCAAGAGTTGGATGTCTGTAATAGTAAAAGTTTGAGAAAAGAATACTGTACGTGGCACATGGATTCAGTAGTGACCTTTGCCCTAAACTAGAAAATGTAAGGAACTGGAATAGTAGACTGCTTTAGTTCAGCGGCTTTCATACTGGCATGTTCACTGGTGTCCCTATTGTCACTGGTTTTTTTCTTTTTCTGCCCTCCTTTGGCTCCCTGTAAATCTTGAATTGATGGCAGCTGTTTGAGCCAAACTCAAGACACGTTGCATCACATCAGGGTTTAAATGCTCAAAGGCAAGGGAGGATTGCTACTATTCTGTAGTATTCCTCCAGCAGCTCCATCTGTTCAGCTGAGGTCAATCACTAGCATCATGCAGCACTTCAGAGAGAGAGAGGAAGATGTTCTTTAATGCTGGCTAGGAAACCGAATTTCCATTCCACAATAATTTATTAGTTCTTTGGGGGAATATTTCCAGCCCCGGTCAGTACAAAAAGCCAAAAAACTTGACCCTTGAAGACTGTATGGTGGACTTCCCCAGAGCTGGAGACCCCAGAAGCCCGTTCCAGGACTTCCAGCCGTCCGTCCAACGGCAGATCTTGGATGCCTTGAGAAACAGGTGGAGCAGCTCTTGCGTGTGCAGCTGCCCTGGGGTCTTCAGGCCTGGAGAATTCAATCCCTGGGGGGGCAACAGGAGATGGAGGGGAGCGTGGCTGGGATGGGTTCATCTTTTATACTTGCAGTCAAAACAGCCCAGGGGTCCCTGGGGTTCCTCTGGCCTTGTTGAAGACTCACACCTTCTCAGAGAGGTTTGTTGGGACCAGCCCATTTCTGCATCCCTTTTTCTGCTCTCACCGTGTTGGCATTTCTTGGCAGGCAAAAGCTCTCTTACAAAATGTCTGACCAGCTCTAATGGTCTTATTACAATAAGTTGAGATTTTTTTATATCTTACTTTTTTATGGCTTGTTTGGAAGAGGGACTTCTCTTGCCAGCTGCCTGCTCATTCATTGCAGTATTATCCACCCACTATCACTGGACAATACCTTCATTTGAGATTCATAAAAACGCAGATGTTTATGAACTCTCACGTATCTGAAAATGAATGCTTTGTAAAGGTACTTGTTCCGTAAAGAAAAATTAAAAAACGCTTAAAAAACAGACTCCAGAAGGTCATTGGTAGCTTTGGCTTTCGTATCACGAATTTCTCCGGTAAATATCCATCCCAGCAAATGTCATTTTTTTTAGCATATTTGTTTTTTCCTTCCCTGGTTCTCCTCCTTTCTTGTGAGCAGAAGTAGCAGGATAAACTCGAAGCTGGTCTCGAAAAGGTTTTGAACCGAGTGCGCCCTACAGATGAATAAACACATTACCTTCCGAACCCTGGGATCTCTCTTCCAAAGGAAACAGGAAAAGGGGGAGCTCAGAGTCCCTAGCAAAATACCAGCCTGCAGAAAAAAGGCCTGTTTAAATTTTTTTAACTTTCCCATCAGAAGATTTTTTTTTTTGGGGGGGGGGAAGGGAGAGGGGCAGGGTGTGAGGAGAGGGGGGAAGGTGGGTGCTGGGAGCAGGGAGGAAAAATACAGTGAATGCTCCTGTAACCTTTGCTCTGTTGATACTAGACAAGACTGCACTGTTAATGAGTGATTGTTAACAGATGGCTGTTGAGCAACTTAGTCAGAAGCAGAAGATGTTATTTGGTCGTGGTGCTGGGAAGGTTAGGGTGCAGGGGTGAGGTAAGGGGATATTTAGTCTTTTCGTGAGGCCTGAACTGTCAGAGATTTATGATTTTCGTTCGGGCTTTTGGAAGTGAAGGCTTGGGGGAAGGCTTGTTCTCTGTGTGCTGACGGTAGAAAGGCCGTTTGGTGCTGAAGGCTCTAACGATTATTTTTTCAGTTGAGGGGTGTCCCTGCAACCCTTGGCCTTTGAGAACTGAAAGATGGAAATGTATGTCTTTAACTTGCCCGACCTCGCGTCCCACACTGGGAAGGAGTGGGCTCCTCCCACTGCTTGGAGCTGTCTGAAGACCAGTAGAGAGAGCTTGAGGTGTGGATCCACACTTTGTGAGAGAAACCATGAGTGTATATTCCCTGCAGTGCACCAAATTGTTATGAAGTGTGTGTGTGAGGGGGCAGGAATCTTTCTGAATGTGTGTGCGTGTTTCTTACCCTCTCCCGGTGGGGTACGTACCTTGTTCAGCACCTCCAGCGTACCAACATCTGCCATTTCCTTACTGGTTTTTGTTGTCTGTGAATTTGAAGGTAGCCTGAACACATCCCTTGCACTCTCTGCAGGTTTTGGGTGCTTGATCTGACCAAGATAATTGCAGCTGCTCAGGGTTTCTCAAACTGTGCACTACTTAGATTTTGTGTGTGTTTCTCCTCTGGACCTTACTAGATACAGGGTTGAGGGGTATGAGGTATGAGTGAAGTCAAGGATTGCTTCTCAAGACTGTCCATTTTGAAAACCAGTGATGTCTGGCTTGAGTGAAGGTAGGAGCCAAATGCGTGGTACAACATTTTGCAAAAGGGTTTTGGTCTTTGGTCCATTTGTACACGCCACTGGCAAATCTTGCCCTTTAACAGCAAGTCTTAACGTGACCTCCCACAATCATGCACTAGATGATTTAACGTCTTTCTTGTAGACTGACTGTCTAACATGTGTAGGTGAGTGTGTGTATATACATGTAGAGAGATGTATTTATACAACTGGAAGACTAATTTCTTTATTCTGTCATCCTTATTTATTCATATTTCTTTTTTGGGGGCACATAGGACTATATGACAAATGTTCTTACACCTCCCGTGACCGAGGATGGGTCCTGGGGATTAACACCGTCAGTGACCAGGGGAATAGAGACCCCCGCTATTTCTTCTCTCTGAAGACGGACCGTGCTCGCAAAGTAACCACCATTGCAGCACATCGCAGCTACCTCCCCAACCAGTGGGTGCATCTGGCTGCCACGTACGACGGGCATCTGATGAAACTCTATGTCAATGGTGCCCAGGTGGCCACAAGCGGAGAGCAAGTGGGCAGCATCTTCAGTCTTCTGACCTTGAAGTGCAAGGTGCTCATGGTTGGAGGAAATGCCCTGAATCAGAACTATCGGGGTTACATAGAGCACTTCAGCCTCTGGAGGACAGCCCGGTCTCAGAAGGAGATCTTGTTGGACATGGGCCAGGCAATTCACAGACAAGACATGCCTCTACCTCAGCTAGTTCTTCAAGACAGTTTACTGAATGTGAAAAACACCTGGTCTCCCATGAAGGATGGCAGCAGTCCTCAGAGCAAGTTCAGCTATCATCATGGCTATTTGCTGGATACCAGCCTAGACCCTCCTCTCTGCGGACAGACGGTCTGCGACAACACGGACGTAATCGCCAGCTACAACAAGCTCCCTCGCTTCCGCCGCAACAAAATCGTTCGCTATCGTGTGGTGAATCTCTATGACGACAAGCACCAGAACCCCACTGTCAGCCGACAGCAGATTGAGTTCCAGCATCAGCATTTAAATGAGGCTTTCAGCCGCTACAACATCACCTGGGAGCTGGAGGTGCTGGAGGTGAAGAACTCTTCCCTTCGCCACCGACTCATCCTCGCCAACTGCGATATCAGCAAGATCGGGGACGAGAACTGTGACCCTGAGTGCAACCACACCTTGACGGGGTACGACGGGGGAGACTGCCGCCACGTACGCCACACGCTCTTCAACAAGAAGAAGCAGAACGGTGTGTGTGACATGGATTGTAATTACGAGAGGTACAACTTCGATGGTGGGGAGTGCTGTAACCCGGAGATAACGGAGGTCACCAAGACGTGCTTTGACCCATATTCTCCTTACAGGTAGGCAATTTCTTAAACGAACAAGCTTTTCGTGGTCACATTAATGAATATTTGTCTAGGTATTGATCAGCCTGCTGGCTGTTGAACAGTTGTGTTATTGATGTTATGGGCTTTGGAGTTTTTAATTAATTTATTCTTTTCTTAGTATTTAGCTCACATTACGGGTATCCAAATGCAATCTCAGTAATGGAGTCAGCAGCATCTTAACATTGAATTGATGTTCCCCATAGAATCATTGAATGGTTTGGGTTGGAAGGAACCTATAGGCTAAAGAAAGTTAGTGCTGAAGACTGAAGCAGCCAACATTGGGAGACCCATTAGTTGTTGGTTATGAGCAGTATATTGTAGCATTGCACAGTTTATTTTAACCACAGACTCTTAGGAGTAGGGATTGGATGTCACAGAAAGCTCTTATGTATTTGGAGAGGGAAGAGCCCCTCAGGCATGGAACAGAACATAAATAGTCTTAGGTGGACTTTAATTCTGTAAGACTCCTCTGAAGGTAGGAAGGTTATTCTGTGTTCTTACTGCTATGAGTACAGCTTTCTGTAAGTGCTGTTGTGGAGGGGCAGCAGAGTCTGTGGGTTCTGAGGAGGGTGGTGGGTACCAGGTTCCTGGCACTGCATTGGGTGGGTAACTGAACTCTTCTCCGCCCCTTTTATATATATATATATATATATGTATATATATATGTATATAAAAGAAAAAAATCTGAAAATGGGGGTAATGCCACTTCATTGCAAATGGCAGGGCAACTTTTTGTGGCTGGATGTGAGTTTATAAAACCCTGAGATCCTCAGCTAAAGGCTTCCTTGTGTTGTAGTTGGAAGAGGGACATCCCTGAAGGACTAGCATCCGTTGAGTACCACATACCTACAATTACTGCGACTTGCTTTTGGGTCATCTTCAGATAAGAGTTAGTATGTTTAAATAAAAAATGTTCCCTGTGAATGAGTTAGAAATGGAAACACACAGAAGATGAATGTTAAAGCTGAAATTCTGTTGTCTGTATCCCATGTTACAGTTTTTCTAGGGCAATTCATGGAGTCATGGGGGAAAACCTGTAGATGGTCCTGTGGATGACCCTGTGTTGTCAACATTAAAGTTCAGGTTAAGAAGGAAAGTATGAGCTGCTTCTGGAGTCCCTTCCATTATAGCAATTCAGGTTATATTTGTAACTTCCTTAGTAGAGAGAAGTTTTAAAACAACATTATCAGCTCTACTGAAGCTTTAAATACACATAATTAAGCTGCAAAGAAAGGCTTTCTTTCCTGTTTTGTGGGGTTTTTTTAACTCCAGTGAGGTTTTTTTTAAAAAAATCCTTATAGCTCAGCTTGAATTCAGTCAGTTACCAGTGAACAAAGCTCAAATGAGGAAATACTTTAAATATTAATGATTGAAAATATCGAAAGGAAAAAGACCAATCATTTAATACCGTTCAACTGGAGAGGAACACAAGTAAGCAAGTATCGTCAAAGGCATAATGCAAATTGGATTGTTTTAACACTGTAGTTCTGAGAGCTCGAGGTGTTAGTTATAACAGCTATGACAATTTTTAGAAAAACTACATTATTTTTAATCTGATAGTACCCTTTTTATCACTTGTTCTGTGACCAGCATAATACCCATACAAAATGAAACAAGAAAAGCCTTGTAAATTTGAGCTGACAGATTTAAGACTGTTATTCTGACATACAGAGACGTTTCTATTTCAAATGAAGTCTTTCTGCTGCACAGATTGTACTTGCAGAAGCCCAAGCAAAAAAAAAAAAGAAAAAAATCAGTTCTCAAATCTGAAGTCACCTTCACCCAACACAGTTGCTTTTCATGCGCAGTTGTACATTCCTCTTGGAGTCAGCCACCTTGCTGAACTTGTCCGGAGGATTTACATTTCATGGCACTGAGCTCACAGATCTTCTACATGTTCCTTTTGGCTTGAGAAGCACCTTCTCTTGACTGACACACTCAAGTCGGTGAGGGAGGCCTGAAGGTCCTCTTCAACAGTGTAGAGCCTGAGAAAGCCCATAGATCCTCCAAAGATTTTTTTACAACAGTTGGATTTCATTTATTTGTCTTTGCATAGCCATTTAAGTGCAGCATTGGTCGTTGGTGGTGAAACCAAGGAGGGCAGCAGAAGATATTCCATTTCTCTGGAGCCTTTATTTGGTGGCTGACGTGCTTAGGCTGAGCTCATACCCACCACTTTGATGGTTGGTTGCACTCAGTGTGGCAGAGTACAGCAGTTCAGCCTGTGGACTTGCTCAGTGAGGTTTGTAAGGCTGAGCACTGCTTTGGGTATTTAGGCTAACAAATGCAGGTTTAGGTCAGTGGCTTTGGCAGCAAAACCTTCATTGACTAAAAGGGTGAAGATTCAAACCCTATGTTTGGCTTTGGTATTGCCCTCAGCATCATCCCCTGAGAGAGATTTCCGTGCCAATTAGTGACTCAGTCAAAATCTGTGACTCAGTTGGCACCATCTGGGCCCATTTTGCATCACCAGCCCCTCTTGTCATCACTTTCATTGGCAAAGAGTCCTCAGTCCCCTCTAGTGCAGGCCTTGCACCACATCAATGAAGACATCTCCACAGCCACTGAGAGCTCACATCTAATTCCAGGTATTTCCTCTGCCAAAGCTCAGTCTAACAATAGCAGAAGAAAGGGAAAAGAGCCCTCAGTCTGGTGAGGCATCAAATGAAAGGGGGGAAAAAGATGAAATGCTACCAGTAAAAAGTTTCCTGGGCTTTGTGCTGTAAACACTCTTCACAGCCTTCCTTGGTACTGGGGGGGCCCTCAGATGCTGCTGGGTTTTCTTCCTCCTACATCCTTAGTGTCAGCAGTTGCAGCCAGCTGTTCACCATGTCAGAGTTTATTCCTGAAATACTTTTGTCCTTTGTAACCCACCAAAAAGTGCTAATGCTTGATTAATGCTCTTATAAACAGGAAACCTCTTCAGTACCTCTTCATCCCCAAAAGAAGATGTATCCGTTTCCAATCACTTTCCTTCTTCTGACTGTCTCAGTCCCAGTCCATCAAGACTCCAGCCTGGGACAAAGTTGCTGTGAGTCTTGTTGCAAAACATCTGTGGATGCTCCTTGACTAAGTGCAACCACAGATGTGGTATCACCAGAACAATTTTGAGACACCTCCAATCTGCATTATAAGTTTCTTGGCACCTTGGACAAAGTGCTCAGGACACTCAGGTGTCCTGCAGTCACTGTTGTGGTGCAGCGATGGTGACTTTAGAGCTGTTGGGTTGGTTTTTTTTGGTCTCCAACCTCTCTTTCTGGCACTTCTCCAAAAATATTTGCCTCCAAAGAGCTGAGAATCTGTGCCATAGCCAGGTAGCGGGGACGTTGGTGAGTAGAGATTTAAGTACAGTGACAGAGGGACAGCACTGGTGGATGGGGACTCTGCTCTCAGAGCTGCTCAGCAGAAAAGCTGTAAACATTGTGGTACCAACTACATCATCCCTCCTCTTTTTTAATAGCCTCCGGGAAAGCACAAAGGACTGGTTATCATTAGCCACACAGCGGGCTTTATCCAAGAATATCTGCTGCACTTCTTTTTATTCATTTCATGAGAGTGGGATGAAATATATTTAGTCCCAGCACAAGATTTGCAAATATTGTTCAGTTTTTCTCTGCTGTGAGTCTTGTTGCAAAACATCTGTGGATGCTCCTTGACTAAGTGCAACCACAGATGTGGTATCACCAGAACAATTTTGAGACACCTCCGATCTGCATTATAAGTTTCTTGTGATCCTTTTGGCACCTTGGACAAAGTGCTCAGGACACTCAGGTATCCTGCAGTCACTGTTGTGGTGCAACGATGGTTGCACTTTAGAGCTGTTGGGTTTTTTTTTTTGGTCTCCAACCTCTCTTTCTGGCACCTCTCCAAACATATTTGCATCCAAAGAGCTGAGAATCTGTGCCATAGCCAGGTAGCGGGGACGTTGGTGAGTAGAGATTTAAGTACAGTGACATATTCATAAAGAAGTGTCCAACGGGACAGTTCAGAGGGACAGCACTGGTGGATGGGGACTCTGCTCTCAGAGCTGCTCAGCAGAAAAGCTGTAAACATTGTGGTACCAACTACATCATCCCTCCTCTTTTTTAATAGCCTCCGGGAAAGCACAAAGGACTGGTTATCATTAGCCACACAGCGGGCTTTATCCAAGAATATCTGCTGCACTTCTTTTTATTCATTTCATGAGAGTGGGATGAAATATATTTAGTCCCAGCACAAGATTTGCAAATATTGTTCAGTTTTTCTTTATTTCTGCAATTCTGGGAAATTAGAACATGCTAAGATCATACAGTCTGGCCCAATACAAAAGCAAGGAGCAAGGATAAACACAGTGGCCAGAGAGACACATTCCTTGTGTTATTTGGGATATTGCTGGTTACAAAATAGGGAAGACTTTGAGCTCATGACACCTACCGTGGCTCCTTTTCAAAAAACTTGAAACAAACAGCAAGGGATCATAGGAAATCGTGCTCTGTAAGTGCCATTTGATGTGGCAAATTCTTGCACCATACTGTGGTCAACTGAGCCATTCCTTTTATGTAACATTGGGCTTGCACATCAGGCTTCACCACAGGATCGCATGGACAGATAAGAAAGCATTCCCCGTGACGCCTTCTGAGGAAAATGCTGATGAAATTCCTGAAACAGTAAAAGCTACTGCAGTGTCTTCAGACTCCCTCGATTCATACAGTCTACTGAATTCTTGCTGGAAATCCCCTCAGAATAGCTGACCCTGGGGACAGCCTTTCTCAACAGCCACATGTGTGCCCTGAAGGCTCCCTCAACCTTTCTGCTCTGCCTAAACAAGGGGCAGGGATGAGCTGTAGAGTCCAGAGTCTGTGTCCAGCACCTGCTGGGGAGACACCAAACCAAAGAGCTGGGGTCCAGCACCCAGCTCATCCAACCCTTTTCTCTGTCCTTTTCCAACACTTGTGTTGTGCAGTTCAGCCAAGCTTGGCATTGTGTCACATCAG